TGGTTAACTATCAACTTCTTTAACCATTGCTTCCTTATGGATAAATACGATACCCTACAATTCTCCCGAGTAAAGGCTACAGCGGTATGCGTACGCTTACGGATTTATCTATTTGCGTTAACAATACCAATAATCGGTTCAGCAAGATGGCTCATTTTATAGCTTGTCAGAAGACATCTGATGCAAGTCAAAATTCTCATTTGTTCTTTCGTGATGTCGTGCGCCTCCATGGTATTCCATGCAGTATTACTTCTGACCGAGACACTAAGTTCATGTCTCATTTTTGGCGATCTTTGTGGAGGCAAATGGGGACAACTTTGAATTTCAGTACTACTTATCATCCGCAAATGGATGGTCAGACAGAGGTTGTGAATCGGATCTTGGGCAATATGTTACGGGCTTGTTGGTGACAAACCAAAACAATGGGACAAGTTTTATCCTATGCAGAATTTGCTTTCAACCGCACTTCAAATCGTTCTAATGGATTTTCTCTATTTGAGGTAGTATATGGTCGAGTTCCAAATGGTGTGCTCGAATTAACACCTCTGCCATCTATTGAGAAGAAAAACCAGAATGCTAATGATTTAGTTGCAGAGCTTGGCATGATTCACAAGTTAGTTCAACAACGGCTCTGTGAAAGCAATGCTAAATACAAGGCTGCAGCTGACCAACATCGTCGACATGTTCTCTTTCAAGCTGGTGACTATGTGTGGGCTGTCTTAACCAAATATCGTTTTCTTGTTGGATAGTATAGTAAGTTAAGTCAACGGAAGATTGGGCCATGTAAGGCTCAAAGAAAGATCAATGATAATGTCAATCAGCCGAAACTACCAAGCCACTTGCGTACATCTGATGTGTTTAATGTGAAACACCTTCTGCCATATCATGGTGATCCACTGAATGATGGCAACGCGAACTCGAGGTCGAGCTCTTTGCAGCCCAGGGAGGATGATGCAGACAAATAAACTTAATAATGCGTCAGTTATTATCCTCACGATGCCTAGTAGCTATAGTATTTATTTTCCAATAAAACTTAAGAGTCCTGCATGCATGCATCAGTTCTAAGTTTTTCAGCTGCTATCTTAATGGTCATGCGTGGTCTACAGCTCTATATATGTAAGGAGATTTGGGAAGGAGAACTGTTTTGTAGATAATAAAATTACTCACTATCATTGGTGACCACTAGAAGGGAATTGTGAGTCACAATTTCGTCTAGTTTTATCTGTCGTGTTTTATACTGATCTACTGGTTCATTCTAATCCACTGCATCACGTAGCCCCTTCCAACACTGATCATCCCCCTTCTTACTGAGGATGCAGAAGACTCTGCCCTATTTATCCGGCTTCTCCTTTTGTGCTCATAGAAGAACTTATATATGCTGATTTCACCGTGAAAAGTCCATTTTTATTATAGTGCCATGCTAGCATATCATCCATACACTGGAATACCCTAGTGCAGACTAAGCCAATTCTATGGGAGTATGTAAAGGTGCACGGGGTTTTGAGGCCCTAGGAGCATAGTGAGAAGGATGTGGTGGGCTTTCCTGCTACCCTAATTACGATCCCAAGCAAATACGTCGTGTCGTATGTCCGGGGGTGTACCAGAAATCTGCTTAGCCCAGGGCCAAACCGTATAATAAAGGACTAAATCACCATTTTCCTTTAATTTTATAGTTGATGAAGTAAGTGTATATGGAATTTTCTAGCCAAGAACGGGCAGCCCTGCCCCTGGGTCCACCACTGTGTTACTTCACTTGGGGACAGTCTGGTGAGGGATGTGCTAGTTCTTGAGCAGTGTTCACCGAGCGCCGCCCAACGATGGTGATTTTGAGGGTACAAGTGTACACATTCTGCAGAGTTAAAACTATACGTATATAGCCGTGATTCTTTGGTCATGATCGGTTCGTTTGATTTGTTTCGGCCCTTTAGCTGCTCTTGTGCTTACTTCTCTCCCTCGAAGCTTGAGGTCGTTGAGACGAGGGCCGTGGGGAGGCTGTGCCACGTCGCTTAGACTTTTTTTTTGTGACTGCCTCATCACTTAGACTATGAGAATGAGGGTGATGTGAGGGATGATGAGTGGTGAGATGCGATGTTGAGTGGATGGTGAGAATGAGAGTATAGGTTGGGTTTACAGAAGATATATTATATATTTGATGCTATTCCACATGCACTAAGGATACAAACTACAATCAAACTATTAGGATCACCAGATCCCTTTATTTTCTATTTTCCACTAAAGCATATTGGTGCTGACCATGGCATGCACACATCTGGTGTTGTGCAAATTTCTCAACTTGCAGTGGTGTTAAGGATAGTAGTTGGTTTGTGGTCTACTCTCAAGGATGCCCGTGGATTGAAGAATCATCAAGCTTCGCTGCTACGATTAGAATTTCGGTGTTTTGTTTGATTTTAGCCTAGAGGGCTTGTATCCAAACTATTGCAATATACTCATTTATGTACTCTAATATTGTATGACTTTGTAAGTTAATGAAAAGTGAATGTCCATGATGGCTGAGATATCCTTAGATTCCATAGGGATAAGAGAGTCGAAGTTTCAAGTTTTGAAATCCTGGTTTGTTTGATAAAGCGAAATCGAAATCTATACCAACAGCAGTGTCTAGCTCGCAGCAACACAATCTCCTACAACTAAAAAGAACAAAGTGTGGATATTTTTTGGCGTGATATTTGTTTTGGTTCGTCCGTCTGCCCACACCTACGATCCCACGACATCTCCCACATGTTGATTGATCATGCTATTCTCCTTAATTGAATATTATCTGCCATGTGATAGAGGAATCACGGCAAAATAGGAAGTAGAAAATTATTGTGCTATCCATATACACATTGCATGTTTGCATGCACCAGCATACATGGCAACGAGCAAAAGGAAAGAGAATTAATATAGAAGGAAAGAGAATTAAGACAAAAGAAACCTCTTTGCATTTCTGAGAACCTTACCAAATCTGTCTATATTTAATTACTTTCCCTTTTTGCATTTGCAAAAGAAACAACTTTTTTCTTCTTTTATTTGGTTTCACGCTCACGTGTTCCATCGTCCTCGCTTGCTGTTTCTTGTTAAAATTGCCCATGGGTCTGTTCATTTTGAATACTTTTCTCATATCCCTGTTTCCCAATCCATGATCCATCGTGACCAATCCATGATCCATCGTGACAGTAGACATCAGACACCATTTGTTGCGTGAACTCGCTCGCGTCCCTCTTCCCCTGCTCCAAGCAGCTTCGCGGAGAGGGAGATCAGCCAGTTGCCTCCACTCACTCGCTCCCCGCCGCTGGCTGAAGAGGGGTCCATCCTCGGCTGCTCCGTTGTGCCATGCGGCCGTACGAGCGAGAGGCAAACTGGGCGCCGTGAGTGAGGGCAGCCGGTAGGCCGTCAACTAGGCCGTCCTAGCCTGTGGGTGCCGTTGCCAGTGGCGGTGGCATAGGTACAGCCTGTCAAAGCTCTTCCAGATCGATTTGATTCTTGATCTACGGTTCTAGCTCCATCGCGGCTCCAACCTGCTTCCAGACGTCATTGAGCTGGTTGGAGTACAGGTCGAGGGGAGCATCATCGCGGCTGACCTCCTCTTTCTCATCTTACTTAGTAGGATCAGTAGTGGGCCTGTAGCCTTCTATCTGCTCCAATGGTCTAAAGCACTTTCATGTCTGTTGTTTCTGACGTGCAGGCAATCTTCAAGCCACCAAACGCGATGCGAGGTGGCATCTAGGCAGCATGATCCATTCTTGTCACGTTTTCTATTGGATCATACTTCGATGCTGTAATTTTAATTTTAATTTTAATTTTAATTTTTTCCACGGTGTATAAATTTTATTATTGCTCCATGCTATCAATTATTTATTGTTTAATGCTAATCAATTTTGTAACTCGTAGATACTACTACATTATAATATCTATCAGGTATACACATATATGCCGTCACTTATCGGAATGGCGGCGAGCAGCATCAGAGTTGCGCATTTTAGCTGGTCTCCATGTACAAATGAATAGAAAGAGAGGTATTGTATCACTGATGTCCTCATATGTATTGACTAAATAAAGTGTCAGTTATTATATTTTTTTGCTCGTGCATGATAGGCGGAGTGACCACTACTGACGATTTCAGCGAATTGGTATTCAGCCCTATTTGTAATCAGGCTTATGATTTTCAAAGTGAGGTTCTTTTGGGGTAATTCATTGATTTAATTTATTGACTACAACACTGAGCCACAAGTTTTTTATTTGTTTATAGGCCTACGCAATCATCTGCTTGTTGATGAAGCCAGACGTAAGAACATCGTGTCACGTCTCATAGATTTAGAGAACTAAATAATATTAAAATTATTTACACGTTTGTGACACGCACTTTGAATAGATGATGGATATTAATTTAGTTTAATATAATAGTCACTTTGTGTATTTTTATTGGTCAAACAAGTTTAAAATATGTGGATTGAGCAATATTTGTCTGAGATATTTGATTGCTTCATTTAGTTTGTAATATCGGAGACTTCTTGCCAATATAAAACATTATTTTAGCCGTATCACGAAAAAATCTATATAGTAGAGTTTGTGAGCCTGCGGTGCCGTGCTCTTTGTGACTGTTAATTTTACAAACTTTGCTTTTTGATTAAATGTCAGTTTAATGTCTTATAATATTGTTATCTTATCGTACGATCCGCGTGTTTTTAGTACAAAAATTTAGTTGTTCCGTAGCGACGCACGAGCACGCTACCTACTAATCATATAAAAACAAATCGACGGAAAGAGTCTGGCTTGGTGAAATTTCCATGGTGCGGTCGCGTTTTAAAAGATCGAAGTTTAGAAGAAAAAAAATAACTCTACTAGAGGCTTATTTATATTAACTTTATTACATTTCCACTCTTGGAAGCTCGCAGCAATATTTAGAAAACGGCCTCTGGTGTCCGAAGTATTACCGGAGTAGTTGCCATTTTCGCCAGGGGAGACATTGCTGACCAAGTGACCAAACATTGGTACTACTGGTATCAAGCGTACGTGTTGGCGACGTGGGCGAGGTGCCCAGCAAGCTCAGCCGGCGCGGAGAACATGGCCATGTGGTCGGCGTCGGCGATCTCCCTCACCTCCGCCACGGGACAGCCGGCGATCATCGTGTGCTGGTACGCCTCGGTCATGGCCTGATCCTGCTTACAGACCATGTACACCTTGGTCACCGCGCCGTACCTGGACTCGCTGAACGGCTGCTGGCTCTGTAGGTCTGGCACGTAGTATGAGCTCACCCGGGCCAGGCTCTGGGACAGCGTGTAGTCCTGCCGAGATCAATAATCAATTACTGGATATTTTCTGATTCATGAGACGATTCAGTCAGCAGATTTGCAAGGGAGTACTACACGAGAAGCTCGGAGTTGATACCTCCGGTGGGCTCAGCTGGTAGAGCTTGTGGCGCAGGAATTCAGGCCCCAGGAACACCGAGGGTGGGACGTGCTCTGCATCCGTGACGGTGTCCATCCAGTCTGACACGGTAACCTTCGGGAGAGACGGCCGGGATAGGGGAGAGCACGGGATCATTCATGTCAGCAGCAGGTCACGTTAGCTATCCCAACGACCAACAGCAAGAAGCCAAGAAGCGTACACTGACGTACCTTCTCGATGACGTGCGAGCGTGGGTTGGTGCAGTCCGGCAGGAACGCCGTGACGAACACGGCGGCCGCCACTTTCTCCGGGAACATCTCCGCGGCGAGCGCGATGCTCATGCCGCCGAAGCTGTGGCCCACGAGGACCGCCCTCTTTCCCGGCGGGAGCGCCCGGAGCGCGTCGAGCAGCGGCCGCGTGTAGTCCTCGAAGGTGGGCACGTCGCGGAGCTGCCGCGAGTCGATGCCAGACGCCGTGAGGTCCGGCGCGTCCACGCGGTGTCCCGCGGCGCGGAGCAGCGTGGCGACCCGGTACCAGCACCACCCGCCGTGGCCCGTGCCGTGCACCAGGATGATGTGCGTCGCTCCCTCGGCAGCCGTCGCAAGCGCGGGCGTCGACATGGTGTTGATTGCTGGCTTTTTGGTTGGATCTTCTCTGGTGGTAGAAAAGAGGTAGTCAATATATGATGGCATCGTCACGGCAGATGTGAGGGGCAGCAGGCGATGCCCACGTTCCGTCAAAGTTGACTAGCTGGAATTTGTTATTTTCATATGAATTATTGCCCACGCTTAGAGGATTTTTGTCCTCTAGTGCAAATTTGTTATTTTCATATAAATTTTTGCGGAACGGGTTTGAATCTCAAATTTTGTGACAATGAACATCTACAGATGCACTATTGGTGTGCATAGTTTCAAATTTTTTGAAAACAAATAAGTATGGTTTTAATGGGGTTTTCATGGATTGTACCAAAGATGTGGTTTGCACTAAATATTTTGCCTAAAACATAAGTGTCGTTTTCATTTCCCGAGGAGCCAAACACTTTGAACTTTGATCAAATATATATATATATAAATATTAATATTATAGTATATAATTAGTATCATTAAATAAATCGTTGAATCTATTTTCATAATAAATTTATTTGGAGATACAAATGTTGCTAATATTTGACCAGCACGATTATCATAGCGATACTTGTTTTGGGACAGAGGGAGCAGATCTAATACGCAAGCTAGCATACAATCGAATACAGATGTCAGTGCCTGATTTTTTGAAAATTTTGAGACAACAATCTTACAGAAGCAACTAGTACAATTAAAAAATGGACAAACCTACAAGAGGCAATTTACAATTTGTTGTATAGCCTAACAATAACAAAATTACATGTTATCTGGACAACGATAAAAAAATGAGACACTAGAGATGTAGGAGAAGTGTATTTTTTTTCAGATGCTAGTATAGATATTAAAGTGCAATATCTCTAAATATATAATACAAAATGGATAGTCTGGATTCATCCTAGAATATGCATTTAATTTTGTTATCTAAAAATATCTATATATGTTACCAATGATTTTAGAAAAACAAACTATTAAATAACATATCGACATATAAGACTTGCGCCGCGGTCAACGCCACCGATGCACCATGACGGACTCCATGAAGGGAAATCTCCTAGACACAGGCCGGGATGTCGTGGAGGCGGGCATTGATGAGGGAGCCCTGAGCATTGATGGCATCCACGGCCATGTTCGCCGCCAGTTGGAGAGACTCCAACTGCACCATCAGGGCTGGCAATCATAGAAACAGAAAGACTATCAAGACAAAGGCAGTAGAAATCAGAATGGAAGCGTTTCTAGAATTCATCTTACTTGCCACCATGGCATCGGATTCGGCCTGCCATGCCCGGACGGCACTAGCCTCTTCTTCGGTGGCATGAAGGGCAGCCTGAGAAACCCCAAAGCGGATCTCGAGCTGGCCATTTTCCCAAGTGGCCTCGGAATAGTGGTCCTAGGTCGCCCTCCACTCCCGAAGGAAGCACCGGGCATCATCACCGTTGTACGAGTCGAAGGAATCCGACGATGAGGCCAATGCATAAGATATAGCATCAGAGGGCTAGCCGGCCCTGGGGAGAGGACAAAGACTGTGATTCACAACGAACCTATAGGCAAATCAGAATAGTTCATCGTCACAAGCAGAAGATGTCGATCTCACCTCATGCGTCGGAGGCGCTGATTCACTGGCATGTTCTCCTCTAGAACCTCCGCCACACGCTTGTCGTGGTTCTCCTTGCAAGCCATGAAGTTGATCGGATCTACAGGAAGGGAGGGAGGCCGCTACAGAGTTCTGTGAGGGCAAAGAAGTGCAAAGGAACAGGAACGGTTGTGAGTGCGGATGTGTTCGAGGCCGGAGCCCTCAGCTAGTATTTGAAACCACGGAGCGAAGAGGTGGACGCCTCGAGGACGTGCAAAAGGCAACCACAATTAATAGGAGGTGAAGCACTACCTCACTAATACCGAACAAAATACGGCGCCGGGTGACTAAGGACAGAAGATCGAAGGGCTCTCTTAATAAAGGCCATGTTTTCAGACCTACATGAGATTAAGATCGGGTGTCTAGAATCGGCTATTTTCAAATCGGCTCTTTAGCCAAAACAAAGAAAACACAGTGAGACAACGGAAAGTATGGTTGTCATTGGTTCTACACAAGACAAATGTTGATACACTTTCAACACTTCTAGCCAAATAGCATCAACTTCTATGATTTGTTGTTTGTCTTCTTTGGCTGATCAAGGAATGCTCTCAAGGCTACATCGGATGGCTCTACCTTTTCTGACTTTGGCCAACAGTTCTTGTTTCTTTTGTTGAATGGCATCAGATATTTGAGCCAGAGTGGACTTATGACGATCAATGGCAGCCTTCACATTTTCTAGCTCCTTCTCAAGTTATGCACGCCTGGCTTCTAGTTGAGACAATTCTAGGTCAATACTGAGGGTGGAGTTCTTCAAGTGATCAATGAACTGTGTCAGTTCTTTTGCCTCTTGCCTGTTAGAGTTCCCTTTGGCCAATAAAGTTTCATGATCAAACAAATTCCTTTGAGCCTGTTTCACCTTCAAGACCTGACCTTCAAAGATAGATAAAGGAGACAAGACTCTAGAGAGAGCCGGGGTGGATTACCCTTAATGGCCAAGGAAACTCTATGTATTGGATCAGTGTCTTGGACCAAATCGACTATATTCTTTTCAAACATTGGCAAAACATCTCTTAGCTGATTTTTGGTCTCTTCTGGCAAGGTTTCCTTAGAAGAGGTGGATGAAGATATGATTTCATCCTCATCAAGATACTCCTCAAGATTGAAAGAGTAACTTAGGGCTGGAAGATTGAGTGCCTGTGTATAAGGAAATCTTGATTAGGAGGTTTAAATCAGTTTATAACAAATGGATGGCAAAGAGGATACATTACCTTCTCTGCAGTAGCCTCTATCTAAAAAGAAGGAACAACTGATGATGCACAAAAAGCATCTGGTTGAATCGGCTCTAAGCTTTCAACATTGGTATCTGCAATGTCAAATTTTAGTTCATAATTATTGTAGAAGATTAAAAGGGACATATAACTTCCTTACCATCAGTTGCATGCTGAGCTGGGGAATCAATAGGATCACCTTCGATGCGACAGGATCATTAAGTGGACTGTCAAGCTCCTGCTCTCGCGTGGGTGTTTTCTCAGGAAGTATCTGACATGGTAATAAGCCAGGTGAAGAATGGAAACCGAGTAGATCAAAAGTTATAGAAAATGCTCTGACAAGCATCAAGGATAAAACTCACATTTTCTGCTGTTATGGAAGCATCGGTTATTTCAACCGAAATCGGCTCCTTTTGAGGATCAACTAATGGGGGTTCAGTTGGTGCTGAGTCAAATGCTTGGGATAGCAATCCCGCACCTAGAGCAGGTTGGGACACAATGCTCGATAGCTGTGAAGGAACGAGATCAATAGTTGAATAACATTTTTTAGAAGGAGATAAATCATTTACCTAAGTAACTGATGGTCTCGTTCTGCGGAGTCTCTTTCCAATAGTGGTTTTCTGGGTTGTCCCTTGAGCTGCCTTGCGCTTTGAAGATTGATATGTCACAATGGTGGAGGCAGCATGAGTTTTCATCGACTTCTTCAGTGAAGGTGCGGCTGATCCTATTCTTGAAACTAGGCATGGTGATTGATAGTCTATTGGACACCCCTTCCTATCCAAGCTTGGGGGATCAAATTCAACATCCTAAAAAAGTTGGTTAGAACGGTTGGCAAGAGGACTCATCGAATAATGTTCTTAAAAAGAGATGAAAGGTTACCTCATTGTCAGAAGCGAATTCCCATCTAGAGCTATGCACAAAGGGTGGACTGACCCACATAAAAGATGGGAGTGCCATTCTTACCACCAGGAGTAAAAAAGAATGGAAGAAAAGCTGACCTTGATCCCATCATGCAAGCAAAGGGGAGGAAGATCCAATCCCAATTGAAAAACTCTAGATGATTCCATCACCTCACTGATGTCCTCTCTTGGCTTCAATATGTTTCTAAAGAACAATTGAGGGGGGAGCTGGCCAAAGCCAAACTGATGGGCTACAAAAGATGGATTGTAGAACTCATAAGTTGGGAGGTTGCCTGGAAGGGAGGAGCCTATGGCCATTTTGCCACGACCATGACGAAATTCAGCTAGAAGGACACAAAGCTTGATAAAGGAATTGAAGATTGCAGCCGCCGTCTCATCCGAGCAGCCTGATTCAAATCAAAATTTGAATGGGAAGATCAACTCATTATCTTCATCCTTGTCGTATGGCAGCCGAGTGAGGATGTCTACATCAAACCCTCTATAAAACTTTTTGAAGAGGTGGCCAATATCAACATCGATTGTTATGGCCGATGCAGCCTCACCATAGCTTGTACACCGACGGGTTCTTCCTTATTCGCCTCTATATTCCTCATCAAAGTTGGAGGAAGGGAAACTTAGGTTTCTGAGATCAAGCCATACAATCTTGTGCATGTACAGGTTAAGCCATAGTTGTATCAACCACCAAGGGCCATTGATAGCATGACTGGTTCATTCTTTAGTAATTGAGCAGCTACCTGGTACAGCAGATGATAAGTGGCTCCTAATAGATACTTTCCAAGAGGGATGTCCTTACCCACTGCTAGATGCTCGACCATGAGTTTATGATTGTAAGTCGGGCCACAAGATGACCCATAGAAGATGAATCTCTCAAGCCACATGTTCAGAAAGGATACATATTCCCTTTCACTAACATTTGATTCATCTCCAATATGATGTGGTAGAACCTCCTAAATTATAGGGCCCACATGCACCGGTCACTGTCCAATGACCTCTGACGACTATGCATATGTTCCCAGTAACTTAAGAAGACTGTCGGGTGTCCTCGGGGAACCCCGAATCATCCATGATTTTTCCGAGATGGATCCATTACAGAGTCATTGTAGTATTACAACAGTTTATTCATTAATTTACATCAGAGCAAAATAGCGGAAGTCTTACAATAACTTAGTTTACAAAACAGTTATTTCAAACCTTACAAACTAAATATGATTATTATTAGAAACCATAGTAGTGGAGTGGCATGAGTAACATAATACAAACACACAATTAAGGTGCCCTGCCCAAGAGCCACACATTTATTTGTCATCAACG